ATGTGGGACCACTACACTGGGACCACCTTTCTGTGAGAAGCCCAAACCACGTCAAGGGGCTGTGTGCGGACACTGGTCTGAGGCCGCAGCTGTGCTTCCGGTTTGACTGTCGCCATTTTGGATGGCCAGCCCAGATGAACCTCACCCTCTACTGCAACTGACGGGAGACACAGGCGAGGACAGCTCAAGGAAGCCCAGTTGGCCCGTGGAATGACAAGAGTTAAGAATAAAATAGCACAATGATGAGACCGTGGGTATCAGGTGCCTGGCACGTAGGAGGTGCTCAATGTGGCTGTGGTCACAACTACAAGGGACAGTTGCCTTGGTTTGCCCAGCACCAATCCCCCCTGTACTTGTAACAGAGCTCCAGCTCCAGGGATGGGCCCAGGCTTGGCCAGCGAGGATATTCCGTTTCCTTGGCCATAACGATTGGATTGCGATTGGAGACGTGGCTCGAGGCCAGAGAGACAATTCTGGAACATTGACAGAAGCTATTGAGAAAGAGAGGGTTGCTGTGTGGTCGGAACATGGGTTCAGCTGCAGGGACAGAGGCCCGAAATCACCATGGCTGAAATACCCCAATAGTAGCTCCATCTGACTTGGTTTGGTGGCTCTGCCATCCGGAGCATGCAAGAGTCCTGGGTCTTGCTATCATTCCTAGGGTGTTGTTCTCATCCGCGGGTCCAAGATGGCTTTTCGTTGAATCCACTTTCCAAACAAGACGAGTGGTGGGATGCACACCTCTTCCTTGCAGGCTGTGGCCTGGGAGGCTTCCCACTTTGTTTCTGTGCACGTGTGACCGGCCAGAGCCTTTCCCTGTGCACCCAGTGCAACTATCAGCATTCGGGGGGAGGGGATTCAGAGAGCACATTCTAACGGTGGGTGGGATATAGGAGCCCTCAAGTGATAGTGCTGTACCCCGAACTAGTAACAACCAAGGACCATGACCCCTCCTGTCTGAAGGGTGAGGGGAGGAGGCAAGACAGGGAAAGACAGGTGGAGAGGGCTGTGTGACAGGAAGTGTGAACTCTGGACAAGTAACACAGCCAGCTTGAGGCAGTGCCGGCACGTGGGAGCTGGAGGAATAAATAATGTGACCACAGTTTCCTGCCGGAGCCTCTCACTGGCCAGACCTTTATAGAATACAGAGGGCAAGGCGAATCTGTGGCTGTTGCTCATGTAGAGCAGACAGCAGGGTGGAGAGCTATAACAAATAGGTCTGGAGGAGCTCACAGAAGATTCCAGCAGGCCTAGGTAGACAGTCAATAGGTAATTAGGTTTATGGGCTTTGCTCAAAATTCTATTCCAATGGGAGAAGGGGAAATGGACATTGAAAGGTGAGAAGCCTATACATTCCCTTCCCCTTGGGGCTGCCAACCTGGGAAGACTTGAGTCTGACAATGGCAGAAACCCTTTGCTACCATGAATAGAAACCCTGGGGGGAGGAGGTGGCCAATGCAGAGGAGAGTAGAAGGCAAAGGTGGAGGCCAATTGATGGCAGATCAGAGTACCTTGACTGAGCTGTGTCTGAAGTCACTACCGCTGGACTTTTCAGTCAGGCGAGCCTGTACATTCTGTTCATTTCTCTTAATCTCATAGTAGCATTTCTGTTTGTTTGGCTGCATTCAGACACTCTAGAGCTTGTCCTGGGTTCTCTCCGACATTTATCTGGGATGGAAGCCAGACCACAGACTCCAGGCAGGAAAAGGCAAAACCAGGTGCCTCTGTCATCGAGCCCTGTGCAAACAACCCAGCCATAGCTTCCCCTTCCCGCGGGCGATGTTTCTTTTACACCCAAGCAGACTGACAGCAATGACATCCGAGGACTCCTTTCTCATCCAGGGCCCTCAGGCAGAGGCTTTCTTTAATTTCCACTGAGAAGTTTAAGGGAATAAATGTTCCTAAGGCTGAGTGGGAGCCATCAGGCTTGTTTTGTTCTCTTTAGCATGTTACAACTTCTATCGATGACCTCACAGGGTTGGAATGGTCTACACCAGCTCTGCCAGGCTCTCCTGATGACAGTAGATGACTTCACAGGTGAAGAAGGCAGCATTGTCCTATGGCGAATGAAGCCCTTTGGCTTCCTAAGGTGTGACCACCCAAGGAGCCCCAACACATTCCTTCCTTCCATGCTTTCCATTATTTGGGCCCATATATAGGTGAAATGTCCCAAGATGTAGTCAGTGCCTGTGCTTGGACCTTTATCCAAGGTATCTGAACATAGGTGGCACCCCAAACCAATTAAGTGAGGGTCTCTGACACAGAGCCTGGACATCAGTATTTTTCTTGAGTTCCAATATGTAGGCAAGTTTGAGAGCTACTACTCCAAGCTCTGGTCACTTCCCGTCAGGTGGGGCTGCCCTCCCAGCCTTCCACCTCCACGTCATTTGCCAGGCATCCTACTAACTCAGAACAGCTTCCTCTGAGGCCCCTACAGGCTTAGCTGGGACACAGACGAGTCCTATCACCTCGTTGACACGCATCTCCATGCTCCTGGCTGTGGTCCCCAATCCTGAGGATGGCTCTGATTCAAGGTGGAACCACTGGGACACCAGTATACCCCCTTGATCTGGATGAAACTGAAGGGGAAGATTTGAATCCAATTTTATACCAGAAGCTAATTCCAAATGGGAGGCTATAGTTGGGAATAAAATAAACTCAATAACAAGGCAAGGTCAGAGCACATCCGGTAACCCATGCCAAACTTTGGAAAGGTGGCCTCAAATCTTCTGAGGCCAATGCACAAGCTGTGGACCCAGGCCCAGGTGGGTCTCAATCTGTTAATTCTAAGGATTGCTGAGCCACACTGACCACTTCTGATCCCATAGGGATTAAAAGTATACTATGGATTGGGGCGCCTGGGTGGCTCAGTCAGTTAAGTGTCCGACTTCAGCTTGCATCATGATCTCATGGTCCGTGAGTTCGGGCCCCGCATCAGGCTCTGTGCTGACAGCTCAGAGCCTGGAGCCTGCTTCAGATTCTGTGTCTCCCTCTCTATCTGCCCCTCCCCTGCTCATGCTCTGTCTCTCTCTGTCTCAAAAATAAAATAAAAAACATTAAAAAAAAAAGTATACTATGGATGACTCTATGCCCACAAATTTGATGACTTAGATAGAATGGACAAATTTCTTAAAGGACACAACCTATCCAAACTCACACAAGGAGGCATAGATAATATGAATAGGCTTATGTCTTTAGAGAAGTTGAATCCATGATTAATAGCCTTCCGGGGAAAAAAGCCCCAGGCCCAGGTAGCTTGACTGGTGAAATCTACCAAACATTTAAGGAAGAAATGGTACTGACTTTCTACAATTGCTTCCAGCAAATAGAAGCAGGGGGAACACATCCTAATTTATCCTATGAGGCAAATATTACCTTAATGCCAAGGCCAGATAAAGAGAGAGCAAGGATAGAAAACTACAAACTGATAACTCATGAACATAGATGCAAATATCCTCCACAAAATATTAGCCAATGAGATCCAGCAATATATAACATGTACAAATGGAACAAAATGGCAGAAACTGACTCACACAAGTATAACCAACTTATCTGTCATGGGGCACAAATGAAGCACAGAGGAAAAAAGAAAGTCTTTTCAACAAAGGGTGCTGGAACCACTGGATATTCACGTACAAACACAGAAACAACCTAGACAGAGATCTTACATCCTCCCCCCAAATTAGCTCAAAATGGGTCATAGACCTAAATGTAAAAAATTTTTTAGCATTTATCTATTTTGAGAAATAGAGACAGAGTGTGAGTGGGAGAGGCACAGAGAGAGAGGGAGATACAGAATCCGAAGCAGGCTCCAGGCTCTGAGCCGTCAGCACAGAACCCGACGCGGGGCTGGAACTCATGAACCGCGAGATCATGACCTGAGCTGAGGTCAAATGCTCAACTGACTGAGACACCGAGGTGCCCCTAAAATGTAAAATTCAAAAACTTCTAGAATATGACATAGGAGATTCTAAGGGACCTCGGATCTGGCAATGACGTTTAGATAAAACACCAGAAGTATGATCCATGAAGGAAAGTAGAAGTTGGATTTCATTAAAATTTAAAACTTATGCTCTGAGAAAGACACTGTTAAGAGAACGAACAGACAAGCTGAGGACAGAGAAAAGAAATCTTTGCAAAGCACATATCTGATAAAGGACCCCGTGGAAATAAAGGAAGACAAACTAAGTGAGAAGAGGCAAAGGCGATTCGTTCAAAGTTTGTTAGAGCAAGAGACATCATCATTCGTGTCTGACGGACACTCGACGGCAGACAGAGGAGCAGGAAAAGTTTCTTGTGGGAAAACGCAGGTCAGGCATGCAGCTCTGGCTGACCCTGACCGAGCCGGGGACGCAAGGCTCTAGAAGTGGGCGTCCCACGGGGTTGCTCAGGGAAGCCTGTTTGGCTCTCTCTGATTGGTCCCAAGTTAGAAGTGGGACAAAAAGTAAGGAAGTGTCAGTCATAAATAAAGTCTCAGGGGGCGCCTGGGTGGTGCAGTCGGTTAAGCGTCCAACTTCAGCCAGGTCACCATCTCGCGGTCAGTGAGTTCGAGCCCCGCGTCAGGCTCTGGGCTGATGGCTCAGAGCCTGGAGCCTGTTTCCGATTCTGTGTCTCCCTCTCTCTCTGCCCCTTCCCCATTCATGCTCTGTCTCTCTCTGTCCCAAAAATAAATAAACGTTGAAAAAAAATTAAAAAAAAATAAAATAAATAAAGTCTCGGCTTTGGACCTTTTGGGGTTGATGGCTACAGGGGTTAGTTTGGTTTCCTGGATTGTTGCTGGTGATGGTCTGACTTCCTGTAGGTCTGCCTTAGAGCAGGCCGGCTGCCATAGACCACGGCAGCTGCAGCTTGCGGGCCACAGTCCTGTTTTTATATATAGTCTGCCCCTTTGTATGTTCAGTCTCTCAATTCTGTCCCAAATATATACAGAAATCTTGCTCAGCAACCAGAACACAAAGATCCCGATTACAAATGAGCGGAAGAGTAAACAGGCAGCTTACCAAAGAAGATGTGCAGATGGCAGGAAGGACGCAGGCCCATCTCGTGTTACAGACTTGCAAATCAAAACAAAGAGATACTGCTACTCAGTCATTATCATGGCTAAAATAAAAAAGGAACCTGGCAGCACTGAGTGCTGGCTAGGACGCGGAGCAGTGAGAACCCTTATTCGTGGCTGCTGGGAATGCAAAATGGCACAGCCGCTCTGGAAAGCAGTTCTGCGCTTTCTTACGAGCTAAACATAACGTTACGATACCAGCCAGCAACGGCAGCCTCAGCGTACAACCCCCTCAAACCACGCAAACCTGCACCTGCATGGTTAGGGCAGTTTTCATATCATCACCCCAAACTGGAGGCAGTCAAGATTTCCTTCAGTCAGTGAGTGGATCAGTTCCATACTGTGGAATATCATTCAGCCACGAAGAGAAATGAGCTGTCGAGTCATGAAAATATGAGAAGCCTTACATGCATATCAACAAGTGAAAGAAGCCAGTCTGAAGGGTTGCACACTGTCTGATTCTAACCGTATGACATTCTGGAAAAGGAAAAACTATGGTCACTAAGTGGGTCAGTGGATGCCAGGTGCTTGGGGGAAGGGGGGGACTAATATGTGGAGTACAGGCAGGATCTGGGCGATCCTGTAACCATGGGCACAGGACATCGTGCACTGGTCAAAACCCATAGAACTTCACAGCTCAGAGCGACCCTTCATGCACGCTAGTTGAAAGCCAACAATTTAGGTTTAAGGCTGAAGGGCTCCCAGGAAGGGCTACACTCTGTGACGAGAGGATTTAACTGTGGCGCACACATGTGGGACGGCCCCAGCGGAGGAGAGCGGGCGGGAAGGCGCTGGCCTAAGTAACTTGGGAAATGGGTGGGATCTGCAACACTCACAGCAGGAGAAATTGTCCCCAAGTACTGGACTCTGGGTGGTAAAGCTGCTGTCCCCGGGAGTCCAGGGGCACAGTCCCATGTCGCAGTATGTGTAGACAGACCGGATCAGTAAGTAACTCGGGGGCAAATGGGAGTCAGAGTTCTCACATCGCAGGGAGAATTTACACAGAAGCAGAGTGAGGGTGACCCGGGGGGCGTAGGTCGCGGGTGGAAACGTCAGCATGGCCTCGTGTTTAGCATGCTTTAGATACAAATGATCACTACGGAATTATTTACAGAGACGTATCCATATGTGGATTAGCACACACGCACGTCTCTGTCGGCAGAGAGGCCGAGAAGCGATGCCACCCCAGCAGCAGTGAGCACACCCAGGGTCTGGCGCTTGGCTTCTAAGCACTCTTCTCCAGCCAATGGAACGAGTGCTCCTTGGAGAAATGGCTGACCACGGGGCTGGGGCGGGAAATGCACAGGACGAGCCTATAGTAAGGAAGGGTGAGGAGGGGCTTCAACCAACAAGCTCTTTGCCGAAGGGGGCATGCTATGTGATGCAGGGCCCAGGGGCCAAATCTGGAACAATCATAGCAAAACAAATAGTAACAGATTATGATCCAAACACTAACATAAATATCCTCGGGTCTAAACAGATTCAAATGACTGAGTAAGCAAATGGGGGAGGAGAGAGAAATCTCCATGCAGAAGAATTGCACGTAATTTATGCAGATGCTCCGCATCAAAGAGGTTCCTCAATCAAGGGACGGCCCATCCCTTAGGTGTGGGCCGCACAGAGTGACTTCCTTCCAGGGACAGTGCGGATGGGGCGGAAAGAGTCACTTTCCAGGGGAGAACCCCGACAGACACACCCCAGCCTGGTGACCGAGGCCCGCGGTGACACGTCATGTCGACCGTGTGCTCCCTCGAAGTGATGTGACCACCTCTGCGACAACTTCCCAGACCCACAGCACCAGCACCATGAGCAAGACATCAGCTTCCAGCAGAATTTGGAAATACCTGACCAGTATTCCTCAAGATTGTCGAGGTCATCGGATCAAGGGGAGTCTGAGACCAACACCTCCCACTGTCGGGATGTTTTTACATACGCAGGGCAATTCCGGCACCAAACGTGTGGGGTTTTCCACACCAAGCAATCCCACAATGCTCTGCAGACACCCAAGGGTGCCCTACGATTTAGTCTTGACGCTAATAACCTGGACAGGGTCAAGGGTTGGGTTCCACGTGATCGTCCCCGCTCCACACCCCGGGCACAAGTGCGGGCCACCCTGTACTCCTGACCGACCAGATACAAATCAGGGATTCCCGCGACCGTGTGCTCGGGTTCCGTCATTTGCTAGAACAGTTGACAGGTCCGGGGAAGCAAGTTCCCGTGGTTACTGGTTTACTCGAAGGGCTATCGTGAAGGGTACGAGCAAACGGCCAGATAACTAGGCACCGAGGGCAAGACGCGGGAGGCCCTGAGAGAGCCAGCTCTGCCCTGTGGAGTTTGGGACATGCCACGCTCTCGGCACGTGGACGCGGCCACCAACCAGGAAACTCTCTGAACCCGTTACTTAGGGTGGAGGCCCCATCATGTGGGCACGGTCGATAGATTGAGTCACTGGCCATCGGGGACTGACTCCATCCCCACAATCCCCACACTCTCGCCTCCCCGGGGTCAGGGGCTGGAGGTTGCACTTGGTTCCTCAGGCCGCCAGCCCCCATCCTGGGGCTTTCTAGTGACTCCGGGGCCACCTCATTAGCATGGAGTCAGGTATGACGGAAGGGGGTTTGCTTATTGCCAGTGGTGGCGGGCTAGAACATCTCGTGGCCCGGGGTGACCGTCAGTGCAGAGGGGCCCGGGGAGGCAGGCCGACTGAGGGTGACGAGGGGGACGTGGGATCTGGGGGCACAGGAAGGCAGGGGAACTAGGGGACCTGGGTAAGGTATGGCTTCCAGTCAGCACTAACGAATCAGGGGTGGTTCGCTCATGGAGGCAGCGGGGCTGCACAGACAGAAGGTTCCAGTGATGGGGAGACCGTGTGGGTCATGCGGGGGCCGTGCTCTGACTGCTCAGGTTTTCTGTCCAACTGCTCTACAAACTCCAGGCTGCCGGAAAGGACACGAAGTCCCTCTGCGGCCCTCGGGAAGGCCGGTTGCGTGAAATGTGGACTTTGTAAGTGAATTGCCTTTAAAGCTCAGTGCTGGGAAACACCCCTTTCCTCTGAGTTCAAGGAAGCGCGTCGTCAACGTAAGAGGAAGTTACCAACAGGCCCCCACGTCCCTTCCAGAGAGTCCACACTCTGAAGGTCCCCTCTTCTCAGGCCGCAGCGGGGACGCACCGCGGGAGGCGCAGATGGAAACCGCCCAGCCACGGGCTCCTGATGTGTAGGAAAGGGCATGACGCATCACGGACGTGAATGTCACAATTGAAGGAATGCTTAAGTTACAAGTGTCACCACCTGGGTCGGCGGCCCCCCCCCCCCCCCCAGGTCCCGCCAGGAACTGTAAAAGGAGCCGCTGTTTTCTTAAACCAACTGCCTCCAGTTTGGAAGTCACGTTTCGACTCCCACCCGTCCGTCACCCCTACTTTGTTAACCGGGTTCCGTGTTTCCACGTGATTGGCTTGGCCGCCGTCCTGGGCGTGGCCTCCGCGGCTGCGTCCGGCTGGGGCCCACCGCGTCCCAGCTCAGCCCGGCCTCTGCTCGGCGACAGGTCTCGCCCCCCGTGGCTGTTGGGAGCCTCGCGCGCTGGCCGGCCACGCGGCTTTGTCCGACCTGGCGCGTCCCCCGTCTCCTCTTCAGGTTGTCTTGTTCGGAAGCGACGTCAAACGGACACCAAAGTGGTAAAAGCAAACGTAGCACAGGGAGCGGCGCCTGGGTGGCCCCGTGGGCTGAGCGTCGGACTCCTGATCTCGGCTCAGGTCGTGATCTCACGGTTTGTGAGTTCCAGCCCCGTGTTGGGCTCCGAGCTAACAGCTCGGAGCTTGCTTGGGATTCTCTCCCCCCTCTCTTTCTGCCACTTCCCTGTGCGTGCCACTCTCTCTCTCTCTCTAAATAAATAAACTTAAAAATATAGCACAGGGGACAGCCGCATACCCTTCATCAGATGCACCTGTTTATTGCATTTGCACTATCATTTGCTCACTGTCACAAGCACCCCTAAGACTTCTGAACCCCTTGAGGATAACTGACACAGAGGGTGACCCTTTTTAAAATTTTTTTAAATGTTTACTTATTTTTGAGACAGAGAGAGACAAGAGTGTGAGTGGGGGACGGGCAGAGAGAGAGGGAGGCACAGAATCCGAGGCAGGCTCCAGGCTCTGAGCCGTCAGCACAGAGCCCGACGCGGGGCTCGAACTCACGGACTATGAGATCATGACCTGAGCCGAAGTCGGACGCTCAACCGACTGAGCCACCCAGGCGCCCCAAGGGTGATCCTTTTTAGATGATTCTGCGTGATTCCTGAGAACGGGGGATTTATTGGTCTATGCGACCTCAGCGTAGTCACCGCTTCATAACTTTCTGGGACGTGTTTACCTAACACACCATCATAGTCCACACTCTGGCTGCTGTCCTGGACCTCACCTCTTCCCGCCCGCACGAGAGCGCTTTGGAGAGCGAGGGGCGTCCCGATGACCACGCGGGAGCCACCTCCGGGTTCTCACGTGCCCGCCCCCTGCGCCCCTGCAGACAGACCGACTGGCACAGACTCCTTGGGCCACACGTTGTAGACCCGTCTTCAGATAGTACGTGACGGTCCTGCCGTCACCGCCCGACCCTTGACGTCGGTGGGAGGCCAGCGCAGGGGGACAAGAAGGTGCAGTTCTCCACGTGGGAGGAGAGCCCTGTCTGGAGGCGCCCACCCCACCCACGGCCTCTCACGCCTGCTTCTGCTCCTGTACCACCCCTGGGTCCCAGGTTTTGAGGGGGATTTGGTCCTCCTGGCTCCCCGGCACTTAAGACGAGCAGACCATCCTGGATTACCTGCTGGGTCCCAAATCCAATGACAGGTGTCCTTGCAGCGTACGGGGGAGAGACAGACCGAGGGGCCCGTGTGAAGGTGGAGGCAGTGTCTGGAAGGATCCAGGAGCCGGAAGGGGCAGAATGGACCGTCCCCTGGAGCCTCTGGAGGGAGCCGTGTTCTGCCGACACCTTGATGTCAGACCCCTGGCCTCCGGAACCGGGGGACACATCTCTGTCGTCCGAGGCCCTCGGTCCGTGGCCACTCGTGATGCTGTCGGTGCAGAGCGACGCCACGTGCCCCAGGCCCTGCCCTCTGGGCTCTGAGGGCGACCGGCGGGCCATGTAGGGTCACAGCCGGTGTGGCGTGAAGGTGGCCGTGTGCACGGCGGGGGCGGCGGTGGGGGTGGGGCGCAGAGCACGTGGCATCGTGGGCTTCGGCCGCCACGAGGTGCCACGAGGCTCTGGAGCCTGTGTTTGTTTTCTGTGGACTCAGCCGCTGTGAACCAGCAGCTGGGAGCCATCTGAGCGTCCGTGTCGTCGTTGTTGGGGCACAGCCCTTGTTTCCTTGCCTCCAGCCGGCTCTGCGGAGTGAGCCCCGGGAAGGGCCCCGAAGGTCCGCGAGGAGGCAGGGCCTCGACTGGGCACCTCCGAACCTCTGGGCCCCCCGGCCTCCTTTGAGCCCCACGTCCTGTGGGTGCAGGGACACGAGGGTCACGTGCCGGGGCCGCAGGCGGGACCCGCTGAGGGCCACGGCAGACGGTGTCCGGCTCTCCCCGGGGCCCGGATCACAGGACAGGGGTCGGGAGGCCCTTCTCACAGGTAACGCACGATACCCCCCTACGCGAGCGGCCCTCCGGATCACATCTCTGTTACCCCCTCCCCGCAGCGGCGGCCCGTCTGTGGCAGCGGGGAGACCGGTAACCGGGGCTCAGAGCCACCAGTGACTTGTTTGCTGTCCC